TGCTGCATCGCCGACGACCTATTCACTTGCACATTATTACGGATACCTTTCGACGACAAAAGGTCCTGTCCCATCTGTTAACTACGTGGAATGTTACGAGTCGTAAGTAACTAATCGAACGATTCCTCACTGAAATAAAACGTAATTAAACCGTAGTCGATTTTTCGACGTACTTGTCGACGAATGGGGCATTGGAGGTGGCATGGATTAAGTCCTCACATACTTCCGGATTTGGATTTTTGAAATTAGCAGTGCCTTCGATTTTACCTAAAAACTTTAAAAAAGTAAGTTTTATTTTGAATGATATATTTTTTCCTCTTTGTTCTTTGTAGGTCATACTACTCGATAGGAAGATTATTTTTTTATCTGACATTGGAACATTATGGGATATGTTTGATGGGTTCAGCTCAGAACAGTGCTTGGGAATGGTTGCAAAATCGTCCTCTAAGGTAGCCTTCTGGTTGGTTTTGCTAGACATTTGTTCGTGCCATCTTTAACGAACAGTTGGTGTCTCACTTAGCTGGTTTAAATGGAGACAAACCCATTACTTTATTTTCAGGTCACTGAATATAACAGTGACGTAGTTTTGATGGATTTGGAAAAATTGCGATTGCTGCCGTGGACTTCTGTGTACACCCGAATTGCTGAAGAGCAGCTGAAAATTTTTGATTCTGCAAAACTTGCGCGCCAGGTGAAGTTCTTGAAGTTTATTTTTATGACGTACACGGTTTTATTAATAATTTTATTAAAATGTGCTTTGTTTTTATCATTCACATTTTGAACAATTTTAGGACTAATTTTTCTGTCTCTGCCAAAATCCTGTGACTATACATCGGTTAATGTTTTATATGAGAGTTCCTGTTGGACACTAGAGTTGCTCTATCGGTAGAGCGTCCAGCTCAGAACCGAGGATCTCCAGTTCAAGCGCCGGTTGAGCCACGTGCCCCTCTTCCTTTCCAGCTTGACAGATGAGTACCACCCTCTGGGAAGGAAACGGGGGACTGCACGCGGTACTTGAGTTTATAACTGCTGTCCACTCTGCCTTTAAAATAAGGCATTGAAGATGAAATGAAGATAAGCGTCGTACCATTGACTTCATGAAAAGAAATGTACGAGAGAAAGTCTGACCATGAATGTGTTAAGAAGACCAATATTCCAACGGTTAAAAATTTGCCTTTCTTCCTTCCTACTTGCGGAATGTGTTAACTGCCCAGAAAAGGATTTAGTCGAAATTGTCATCAGTGCCGACTGACAAATTCCGGTGTATATTGGCATCGTTTAAAGTTGATAGGTTAGTTTATGGGATCACGAAATAAATCGAACCGAATCGGGACAAATAAACTTCATGAGTCAAACGATTTTGACTGATGAGGGCTGACATATCCGCTCGAAACCTTTTCGGTTGTTGTTACGCATTTTTTGTGTAAACCAAAATTCTTTTTTGAGCTGTTAATTTGATTTTCATAGCGACCAGTCTTTTCGAAAAAAATTCTTATTCTAGAACTTGGTTTTATGCGTATATTGTTTATCGTTTTTATAAAAGTTTTTGTGAACATACATTTGTCGTGTAAAATTTGGTATGACTTTTAGCAGTGACCGATGGAGAAACTTCTGAAATGTTAATTTTGCTTTAAACATGCTAAATACTCATAACAGTTTTCGGTATCTCACCTATCATACATGTACATTAGTCGTCGCTCCTGCAGTATTTACTGTTGTCCGCTTTCTGCTTCCTGCGCTGACCATGTGAGTTGACCATGGGATCGTCATAGCGCGTTCTTGGAATAGCGAGCGGACGTTTGTGGTCAATCCGAACCAGGTTCGTAATCCTTGACGTTAATGGGTTGTCTTTAAGGCAAGCCGCATCGCCGGCCCATCTTTTCTTGGTATCGTCCAATGCAGAAACAACGCATGTTGATGCGGTACGCTGTTGAATTTGTGTTCTTTGAACGTGATCCCAGAGGGAGGACTTGCACATTTTCCTCTATCGTTTCATGCATGACCGTCAATTAAAAAATAGCAATGATTAAATAGACTGCCATAAGATATGCTATTTTGAGTTTAGATATGTGCAGAGAATTGTAAAATGTAAAATCTTCAACTTTTCAGGACATTTATAATGCTGTTATCAGCCAGTTCCCAGGAATGGTCCGTCAGCTGCCATGCGTCTACAACTTCCAGGATTTTCACATTTTCGAGAAGAATTTATGTCCTTCTCTGGTTTCAGAGATCAAAGTAGTATTTTTTACAAGCAGTGAGTTATCGCAAGATTTGTCGAGTTTCCTATTTAGGTGATGAGTTTCAATATTCGCAAGAAGTACCATGTACTGAGAAATTTTGTTCATCCTCTGTTCATTTGGTATCAGTTTTTCGCAGAGTTAAGCGGTAGCTTTGTGCGTCAAAACTTCATGGGCTGTTCTAATTTGTCGGTCAGTGCGTATGCTGCCAAAGTAAGTCAGTGTTTGTCCTATGAACATTTAATTTGTGCCACTTTCACGCTATATCATTAATGTGACGAATATCTGGCAATATGTGGCGTAAAATAAATCGTTTCGCCTTATAGCTTATGGACAGTGGAAACATTCACCTACATAATCTAATCAGTAGTAAGGATTGAGTCACGTGCAATTCCTGGAGCCCAGTCGAATATTCGCAGATGTGCTCATCTTGCTTTGCAAATGGGCAGAAGCTTTCTTCGTTAAGCAACGAACTTTGACAAATGTTTATTGACTTCCTGGATCAAACTGTTTCTGAAATATTCCATTAACTGCTTCTTGTCAGATTTGACGTATTTTTAAGCGTGATCCGATTTCGAGCCCGGTTTTGGATTTTAAAACACGCCAAGCAATGTGTGACGAATTGCCGACGGCATATTCGCTGCGGTACAGAACTCATCTGTTCTACACTGAATTTGATTACCAATCAGTAAGTTGTGGACGAATTTATTATCCGTCACGCTTAATTGATTTTAAGCAAACCGTCGATGTTTCTTTGGTAACGCATCTTACGACTGAAAGACTTGCATCATTAGATGAAGTACTTTCGCGATGGCGAGGTCCAGCATCCGTTGCCCTATATGTGACCGATTCAGAAGTCTATCGTTTCAAACAGTATCTGAAGCACTGTCCTTCAGTGAACAGGAAGAACGTCGCCTTCCATATCGTCTATCAAGAAGGGGTATGTACCAAATCCTAAGACGTTTAAACCGTTATTAATCATTAATTTAAAATAATTTTTTTGCTTTTACTGTTTGTTCTATGCAAGTTACGTCATCAAATAAGTTTACTGCAAAAATGTTCGCTAACAGACTTAAAACATTTTTTAAACGAGGCAAAAAAATTAAAACAAAATTTGTACCTGAGTAGACATTAATATTAAACGTTGTCAGTGGGATCATCAGTAAATCAAAAATTCATAATTACATAAAGATCTAAATAAATCTTGAATTCATATCGGTATCAGGCAGTAGTTAATTAGAAGTGGATAATCTTTCGATTTCATCCGCAAAGTTAGGAGTACGAAAAGAAACAAAATCTTGTAAAATGTTGGGTGAATTAAATCATCAAGGAATGACTCGCTTCAATTTGCCGTAAATTATATTTCTGTTTACTAGTTGAAGGGTAAGGAAACTCGCCTACAATACAATTAATATGAAGCAGATGAACTGCAACAATCCGCCCTGCGTCTGTTCAGTCGAATACTACTAATTTCTTAGCTACCAACGATAAGTTGCCATTGGAAGATGAGAATTACCAGTTCCGCAATTCAAGAAAAACTTACCGTTACGCCAGCAGACAGTTGTTGTATTTCAAGCTATGGATTGCTTCCTCTATACTGTTCATAGTTTAAAGAGATGGCAAACAGCGTGCATCTACAACGGAATTCCTGGACTTCGAAATGTTCAAGTTCTGTTGTCGACCCTAAGAACGGTGATGGAATGAGCAAATTGAATTTTGTAGTCTGTCCATGGTGTGCTCTGTATTGTCTCTTATGAGCAGGGTAACGCTCGAATCGAGCACTAAACTAATGGTTAGAATAAAGGTACTGAAAAGCTAACTTTTATTACTAAGCTTTGGTTTTGCTTGTTAATATCTAAACGCTGAAATGTATGGTGAACGTGCCTCAGGCTCATTCTGCTGAAAGGGGCATTACTCTAGAAGGTACCTTCTTGCCGATCGTTACACGGAAGTTAATTTGTCAGAACAACCAGTGTTTGCTTTGAAATATTTTTCTTGATTTCCCTCAGCTATTGATGTAATGACAGTTTTTAGGCAATATATCCCATAAACCAGTTGAAAAATGTTGCGCTGACAAACGTCGTCACTCCATTCGTACTTCTTGTGGATGCGGATTTCATCCCAGCCGACGACCTTTATGCAGACTTGATAATTGCGATAAAAAATCAAGGTGTGCGGTATCACCACTTGTCTTTCTGTTCCCTGCTTTATATTAGACGAATTTAGGCGATTTAAGAAAGAAAGCGTTGATCGTTCCTGCATTTGAAACATTCAGTTATCAGTTGGATTTCCCAAACACGAAATCAGAACTTTTGCAAATGCTGGAAGACGACCAGATATTCAGTTTCAAGTTAGTGTATCATTTTTACCACTTGGTTAACTAATGATCTCCCGTTTTTGCTGCCACACATCTGTAAGCCCATTCATGAATTGTGTGATTTTCGTTACTTTCTGACATAGGCCAATTCCGCCAAATATATTTACGCGACGCTCCGCCGAAGGCTGCTTACTTCTAGACGTATAAGCGGAAAAGGCGGAAGAGTATTTTTGCACCAATGTATGATGTGGTTCATGGTTTCTGTCTCGTGAGAGTAGTTATCGACTTTTACCGCTGACCTGGATACTCAGGACTGATGCGACAAATACAGTGGGGCATCCGTAGCACAGTGATATAAGATCGTCTTGGAACGCTGGAGGTTCTGAGTTCGAAACCTACAATATTCTTAATCGCTAATTCCCATGAACAAGAAATTCATCCCACGTCGATTCAGTGGAAACATTTGAGAAACAAATAGCATGTCGATGACTTGCAAACAACAGGAACGGCATGCTGTGTTCATACCAGATTAGGCGAGAGGTACGGTCATGCTTCCAGATGCAAGCGCTTTTTTATGTTGTAAACGATTCACTCACTTGATAGCTGGTTGTTCGATGTAATAATCAACATCTGGTATAAACCAAAAAATTATATCTGACCTCGCTTGGTATATCAGCACTGCAGCGGTACTCCTAATTAACAATGCCCAGAACTTCAATTTTTTTTATCGAAAGGAAGCAGTTCTTTGTAATCGCACCCCTTAGCAAACCTCGGCCGCGTCGACTAATTCTTCAGGCATTAGATCGATCACATCGGAGTGACCAATAAATAGCGAGGTACTGTTCACGTTACATGGGAGGCAGAGACTGGAAGCCATCATTTCTTGATAGTCTGGGAACGTTGAACAAACAACGAGGAAGGAAAACACTCTGTTCGGTAAGGAATCTGCAAGTTAAGGGGCCATTTGACTTACCGGCGTTCCAGATGAAGATTGACAGCAGATTCGCTTGTTTGAGCTAAGCGAGAACCTATGAAGATCTGGAGTTACTGCCTAATAGCCTGAAAACAAAATTTACATACGGCTGCCAAAATTTCTGTCTGTATCAGCATAAAGTTGAAACAGTTGTAGATCACGACTGAAGGGTTGAATCTTTTCCGGCAAAGAAACACGGCGGAGTATTATTACACGATTGGAAAACTCGGAAAACTCTGTTTCATCATCAAATCAGTCAGTGAAGGGTAAAAATGTGGCTGATTGCAAAGTTATCTATATATGATTATATACATATATAGTCGAAGCTCATCATGACCTCGTCTTGCTGGATGTTGCTTTTCTAGCATTCGGTCGTAGGTCGTTCGAATTGTTGCTTGTAAGGCAGGTGCTAGTGACTTTCAACTTTCATCTTTTGCTCCTTGAAGAAACCAGTCGTTTTTATCATATAATTGTCTCTTTACCTGCCACTGTATTTTCGGTGTTTAATT